AACCAAGTCACTAAACGAATACACAAGCAAATAACAAGTGGGGATAGTTTGGGAAAATCAGTATCCAATATTATACAGTATATTGCCTAAAATGTTCAGTTTTCAACAACAACAAAAACCATGACAAAAGCAATAAAACAAGAAAGTGTAAACCACACACAGGAAGAAAAATCAGGCAACAGAACTGCCTGTGAGAGGGTCCAGATATTGGAATTAACAGACAAAGAATTCAAAGCAGCCTTTTAAAAATATGTTCAAAAAATTAAAGAAACCATGCTTATGGAAGTACATTATGACAAAAATGTCTTATCAAATAGAGAATACCAAATTAAGACAGAATTATAAGAAGAAGCAAATAGAAACTTCAGAGTTAAAAAATATAATAACCAAAATGAAAAATTCACTGGAGAGGCTCAATGGTGAATTTGAACTGGCAGGAAAAAAAAAATGAGTAAGTATACTTGAGGGTAGAATGATACAGATTATGCAAGCCAAAAGACAAAGAGAAAGAAAAATGAAGAAAAACAAACAAACTTCAGAGAAACACGAGACCCAAGCATACCAACATGCATGTAGTAGTAGTGCCAAATGGAGAAGGAGCAGAATAAATATTTGGAGAATAATGACTAAAACTTCCCAAATTTGATGAAAAACATTAGTCCACAATTTCAAGAAGCTTAATAAACTCTAAGTAGAATAAGCAAAGAGATCCACACCTACTCACACAATAAAGAGGAAACATAATCCTACTACTTTATTTGACTCAATAGTGAATAACAATTCCACCTGATGTTATGGCCATAAGACTGCAAACACTGAATACCAACTGAAAGAAAAGTTGTCATACCTATATTGAAAGGATGGTAAAAAGGAACATTGATGATACAAGTATGACAATGAGGTGAGGAATGTTTAATGTGAGGACTTAGCTTAGAGAGCAAGGTTTTTAATGTTAGTCCTCATCTAACATAAGAAATCAAAGATCTCAAAATGATGACTCAAGAGAGAACAAGTATGAGAGAGAGCAGTATGTGCATATTTTCAGAAATATGAAGCCAAAGTGCAAAAGAAGTAGCTATAGCCCTGAAAACGGTTTCTCTAGGAACAGTGTTGGGCTGGGAATGGGTGGGACTGTTTTGCGGTTGGAAGCCCTTTGTACAATTTGACTTTAAACAGATGTACATGATTTTACGTCCATAAAATACAGATTAACTTTTTCACTTTAACACACATTGATGATGATGACTACACTGATTTTTAGTTTTAATTGTGGTAAAAGACACACAACATAAAATTTACCATCCTTACAATATTTAAGTGTACAGTTCAGTCATTTAAAATACACTCACATTCTTGTGCAACCAATCTCCAGAACTCTGATGATTGTCTTTAAATCAAATCTCTGCTTCTACTAGCTTTGGGTTTAGTCTGCTCTTCTTTTTCTAGTTCCTTAGGGTATTTTAAATCTTCTTGCTATACATTTTCCTTTCAGAACTGCTTTTACAACATCCCATAAGTTTTGGCATGTTTTCAATTGTCTCTAGTGTTTTATATTTTCTTTTGAGCTTTCTTCTGTGACTTTTTAAAAACAAGTGGTTGTTTTAATGTTTTATTAATTTGAATACAAAGATGAATCACAAGAGTTCCCAATTCTGTCAGGGCTGTCAATTAGTTTGGGCAGGTGTTCACAACTAATATATCTTTAAGTAGGACACATGGCTGTCTCTTACTGGTGCCTAGGACATTCTGCCTTGTCCTTAGAGAGACAGGATTTTATGTGATTTCTGTATTCTCTAGTGCACCTGTGCTCAACATGTGTTTGCTGAATTAATGCATTGGTTGGGACATTTGTGGGTTCCCTATCATAACTTATTGCTAGGAGGCTTATTTGAACCTAACAAATACATATGCAAATATTTGTATGAACTTTTATTACTATAAGTAGTTCCTTGACCAGTGATTCTCAAACTTTGCTACTTACCAGAATCACATGAGGAACTTTCCCGAAACCCTGACTCCTATGTTCCAACCACAAAAATTGTTGTATAAGTCTGGGGAGGAAGCCAGGAATCTACATTTTTAAAAAGCTACCCAGATAATAGAGAACCACAGCCCTTTGACTAAGAAAATTCAGTAGTCAAAATAAAGTCTGCGAAGTGCCTTCTGTTCTTTAGGGATATTCTGTTAGGCAGCAGCATACAGGCAAGAACACTACCAGTGCTGCCACTTCTAGCTATCGTCCTTAGACCAATTACCTAATGGTTCAGAGATCCAGTTTCTTGATCTATAGAACAGGGCTGTAGGGTCACTACCAGGTACATACAGTACACCATCAATGTGGGCCAGACTGAGTCGGCTGTGTGCACGTGCCACTGGCTTCGTCCAGATGCAGCAGTCCGCCTTCTCCAGCCAGCGCTTGGGAAAACAGGGCGGGTTTCCAGAGCCCCCAAGCGAGAGGCCCTCACGCCATCTACAGGAGGGACCATTCCAGGCGCGCGCCGGCTCGCCGGGCCTGGCTGCCGCTCC